AATGTTTTTGAAAAAGGAAATGCCCGAAGTGATTGATTGGTTACATTATAGAATCATTGACGTTAGCAGCATTAAAGAATTATGTAGAAGATGGTATCCTAGTATTTTTGAGACGGCACCCAGCAAGAATACTACTCATAGGGCATTGGATGATATCAAAGAAAGTATTAATGAATTAAAGTTTTATCAAAAACATATTTTCATTGATGAAAGTATTATCTCGGCAGCAAATAAGAAAAGGAAGGAAGGATAAAACAATTTAGCAATGTGATGAACATAAAAATATTCATTATATTTTTAAAAAATAAAGACAAATCATTATCAACTTAATAACATGACAATATGGCAATTATATACAGTATATATGGATAAATACAAATACCATTTAGCAACTGCTTATAATGTCCCCATAAAAGTAATATTTCTAATGGTGAAATTATTTATCATACATATAGATATTAATTTATTACATTTAGTGATGGAAATGACCATAGTTCTATCGGTAGTTACCACTACCGGTAGATTCTAAGTACATGAGTAGTATCTAAGAATAAAGTTTATGATGATTTAAAATCCAATTTATTGGTTAGATACCAGCGGTAGACAAATTACATTTCATATAAATTGTGTCCAAATAGTATACGAATACTTCCAGGCAGTGTTGTTGCTGACCATTCCAGTGAGAATTAGAAAGCTTACTGAAATTGACTAGTGGTGCTTCCAGTCAACGACGCTGCCCCTGGATATGTACCAAAGTTTGAATACTGTACCCTTCACGCGAGATGATGGCATCACCTTAATCCATTTCATAAGATAAACTTTATGCTAAAATAAGTCTTTGTCCAAGGGAATTCTACATTTAACAATCGCGCAACACGCACGGGAGATATATCGGTCCCGCAGCAATTGTGAACCGATTTTGAGCAAGTTTTGTAAAAATTGGTTAATAAGTAAAGTTGTAGAAAGTTTATTTTACAACTATAATTAGCCTAAGTTTATTAATTTTTGTACTAGAACCGATTAAGATCCGATCGATTAAATTTCCTCCACACCATTCGGTCCCATGCAAAAATTAATAAACTTAGATTAATTAAAAAAAAATAAGCTTATTAACTGAACACCGATTAAAAGTGCCAATCTTTTATAAAACTTGCTCAAAATCAGCTCAATTGCTGCAGAACTGATTCACATCCTCTGTACATGAGTGCTTGAGTAAAAATTTATCACATATCAAATGTCGGGGATGATGCTGAAATTGGATGATGCTGAAATTCACGTGATCACATGATGATCTTCTGTATAAACACCTAGC